CGTGTGATACCCACAATATCCTTAAAATTGAAAATTAATTAAAGAGTTAATTTCACCAAAGGTCCATTATCTTTGGTAGCAATTACAAATTTAGTCTCAGACTATCGTTTTTGTCATTTAACATCCTAGACTATTATTTTTTGGACACTTTTAGTCATTCTCACGACTTTTCCTATTTTTAGTAAAGACATTTTTGTCTTTTCATATTTTTCTTTTGTTATTTTTCCGATTTCAACCGGTTTAATTGGTTTAGAATTTTAGGTAACCTCAGATTTTTAGTAATCATATTTTTCAACCAGTTTTTAGTAAAGTCCTAAAATGAAATTGTCCAATGAAACCGTAGTTGAATTAGAATTATAATTTAGTGGTGTTGAATAAGACTGCAGTGTGTATAAAATGAAATTCAATAACATGTCTTACTGTAATAAGACTATTATATGTATAATGTCGAATAAAATTGTTGTTGTACGTGCTAAAATGAAACTATAATGTATATAAAATGAAACCGAATATGTTATAAAAACATAACTATTTACGCGAAACGTGTGCCGTTTCTTTTCATTAAAAGAAACGGCACCGTTTTGAACCATGGTCCACAGAAAAATTTTCCATTACAAGGGGCAAATTATATCGTGCACCCTCGGTGATTATGCACCGGGCTTCTAAACGACGCCGTTTTGTTTAATGAAAAGAAACGGCACTCGCTTTACGTTGTTCCACACCGTTCCGCAAAAAGTAACTCTATTATTCAGTTTCATTTTGTATACACTGCAGTTTCATTTCAACATAACTACAATTTCGTTTCGATATAACTACAATTTCATTCGATATTTATACACTCAGATATGTGAAAATGTTTTTAATTTTATTTTATATACACTATAGTTTCATTAAAACATACACAACTACATTATCATTTCGATATAATAACTACAATTTCATTGCACAATATACACTCAAATATGTGAAATGTTGTTCAGTTTCATTTTGTATACACTGCAGTTTCATTTTAACACAACTACAATTTCATTTCAATTCAATTGCAGTTTCATTTGATAATATAAAAATAATATGTGAGTGCGGCCCTATAATTTTAGATTGGTTAGTTTAATTAATGTGGATAGTTGGCAATGCTAGAAAATTGGATTGTGGAGTAATTAGTGAAATTCTTTCTTCAAACTTATGAAATCTCAGGTTTCTACAGTCGAATACAGTGACTAATCCCCTCGTTCCCTTCTTGGCCTGGAGGTTTAAAGCTGCTCCATTCCCAAAGCCAAAGATCGAACCCTTGACCTTTGGTTAAGGATTGACGAGTCTCTTCCACTCAACCACACCCTCCAAGTTTATGAAAGTAATTCATCAAGGTGTATCTCAAAATCTTAGTGGAGTAAAAATTAAATCTCTTGTGAATTCTACAGAAAAATAAACGGCAACATATGTATTGTATCACTTTTCTCCATATCCAGACCTTTTTAAATACCAAGGCAATGTTAATATATTGCGGAATTAATATTACTTCTCTTCTTTTATCTTCCAGGATAAAATAATTAATATACTGTAATAAATACAATTAAACAACATAACAAACTCTTCTACTCACTCTTTGAAAATAAATTGAAAGACTAACAGATCAATAAATAATAAAATTTCTATCAAATTTAAAATAATCTTTGTAACTCAAATAAAACCAAAATATTATTTAAATAATTGGTAGACTCTGAAATATTAAATTGACTACTTAACATATACGGAGTATATAAATTTCTAATAGACACATTTTTCAAGAACTTCAAAAAATCATTCAATCATATATACAGGCTTTGTCCACATTTTACAAGTATATTATTATCATACAGAAATATTTCTAAGAATACTGAGCCTGAGAAATTGCATTTTGGAGATATTTTAAGGTTCTTTGATGATGTGGGAACCACATAAACCAGAACTCAAAATGATCTTCTGTGACTACTTGTATGTACTTCTCTGATGGATTCTTCAAATTCTCACTTTCATTTGCTCTCTTAATTCTTGCAATTGGGATTGATACCTTATAATGCATTCTCATGGACTTTCCAGTTGAAGAAGGGATCTTGATTGATCTCTCACTAAGGAAGGCAAGTTTGTGAGTAGAAACAAAGAGTAAGCCAGGCATTGGACCAGATGTTGTTGATAAATAACATTGGGAGGCCTTCAACAGCTTTTCGCCGTCTCTAACAGGACCGAAGTTCTTTTTGAACACCTTTTCGACGCCACCTGCTTGGAGAAGTTTTGCCCCAAGAATCAGCTTGCCCTTCAAAGTGTCTGTTATCTTTGGCCTTAATCTCACTCCACCATTTCTTAGTTTTGAACTGGAAGAAAGATGGCATTGGGTGGCGGAAGAATGAGGAAGTGCCTGTTTTGTTGAGCTCTGATTCAATAAAACTGCCTAGTAGTTGATGGGAAACTGCAGGTTCTCTCCAATTCTTGATTTCATCTGATTTTGCTTCATCTCTAACTTACTTTTGTTCTTTTGTATTTGGAAGGATAACAAGAAATTATGTTTGCTAAAGCCTAAAGGGTGAGAAGATTCGAATGAACTTATTTCTGGTATACAACTGATTCTTCCATAAATAATGTGTATATATAGGTTAAGTAATGGGCAGTTGGACGAGTCAGATATTGATCATCATGACCCAGAAAGATTACAAGATGAGATGAGATTTATAATTAGTCCCTTTCAGCGTATCTGCTTTTCTTTTAAAAAAAAAAAAAATTTCTAAAAGATTATTGTGAATTAAAAAGTATGGGGGGAGGAGGAGGAGGATGTGATGATATGATGACTCATCTTTGGTTGATGTAATGGGCAATCTAGCTAGGGAAACTTCCCACATGCTGCTCACAAGAACCTGGTATTTGAATGCCCATATGCAATTCTTACTTTTATCATGTTTGATGTGTAAAGGCACAAAATTTTAACCTCACATCAACATGGCTTGTCTATGAAAAGTTGAAAGGCCGCCAGTCGGCTCAGTTGTTTTTGAGGATGTGTAAAGGCTCAAATTTGACCACATTTCCAAATCACATCAACCTTAGCTTGTCTATAAAAAGACTTGGCCAGCCGACTTAGTGGTCTGATTTGGACCTTAAATTTTGTGGATTAAACAGAATTCTATGATAGGATCGAGCACTTAGCTTCTTAATCTCCTCAAGCTTTCGGAGCTCATTTTGACATTTGACTTACACAATGCATATGAGAATGCCTTCATGTTACAAATTCAAATTGTATATATTGTTAGGCCGGAATAATTATTGTATAGATTTTGATGATGTTATTAGATGTATTTTAGGAACTTAGATTCCGCAAATATTTTTCTTTGCAACCGTCAATGTTGAAATTATTTTATTCTTCTCAAGTAGGAGTCAATCTTCAGGTAGACCTTAGTCATGGTTGATTGCACGCACTCACTATTGGCAAACCTTATCCGTCAAACCTCTCAATCATTTTGGTTAGCTAGGTCAATGGCAGACCCCAAGATTCATGTGTATAAGTTTTCCCGTAGATGTTATATCATCTGACCTTAACTAACTCTCACAAGTTGTAACACTCCCAAATTCTAACATTTGAGCCTAGATTAAACTACGCATTTAAGATAAAAGATTGAGAACTTAAATATTAGATATTCACATCATAGAGTTAACATCCTAAGCATACTAGGGGATGCTACCGCCGTAGCCACTCTCAATAGAGTGACTACCAGGCTATTACTACAATCCAAAATATATGAAACATCAAACACTACTGGAAATTCTGAAATTTCCGACCACCTGAAAGTGATCTTAAATTAAATTGAAAGCTTTGTTCCGACCAGTTTTGGTATCCCGAAAAACCCTTGTTGCTATTTCCGACCACTTTTTGCTTTTAACTTGATTTAAGATCACTTTCAGGTGGTCGGAAATTCAATAATTTTCAGTAGTAAAATATCATGGATTCGCAGACCACCAAGCCCACCAACAAGTGACGGTAACCCACATGAGAAGGAATGGCCTCTCCCGGCATTTTATGTAATTTAGTTGTTCTTAGCTGATATGATGATGTTGGATGATCTGTTGGTGCAGGAGTTAGTGTCACTCTTACGTTTAGATGCTTTCAATGGTGATCTCTAGAGTTTTTTTGAACATTTTTTTCAGCTCCACTTGCTTTGAGAAGTAACATGCATATATATAGGTTAAGTCGGCAGTTGGTGGATCTTAAGTTTCAGGTGGATGAGATTTAGGGTATGTTTAGTTTGTACAAAGGAATTGGAATTGGAATATGAATAGTAATGTGGTGAAAATATTTTTTATGTTTGGTGGTAGGATGGAATTGTAATGAATATCTTCGGTTATGTATGAATCCATAATGGAAATAAAAGTTAAAACAAAAAAAAAACAAAAAAAAATAAAATATTAAATCAATTGATCCTTATATAATGATAGCCAAAGTACTAATATGAATAAATAAAAATCAAAACAAAAATCTTAAAATACTAATTCAAACTTAAAAATCAATAAGATGGAATGAAACCCGTTTTTTAATTAAAAATGAGGTTTTTAATTAAATTGATAATTAATCGAATCCCATAATTATAATTTAAAAAGTTGTTAACTAAACACTAACTATAATTTTGATCATCATTCTTGATGTGTAAACCCATGAACCAAACACACTGATAAAAGTCTATTTGAAGGATCTTCCCACATTCTTATTAATTCAAATAACCATGAATATGAATTGCTTATCTGGCATGGATATGCTTCTTTTAGGCATTCCTTTTCTATATTGCTTTTTTTTAGTTTATTTATTATTCAATTTATTTGTAGAGGCAGACCAACCATGAAGGCATGCAGCCAGATTGATTGCCTTAGCTTTGTTCTCTTCTACAATTTTTGTCATCACATACCAGTGCCACATCACCCTCCGAGTCCAACCAAGACAACTCAAAGTTACAACAATTAGAATCAAACTTTGACTTGGAAGGGAATCAAATATTGTGCCTTTAATTTTCTGTTCATATAACAGGAATGGATAAGTTTAATGTGTATACTTGACAATTTCCAAGAACTGCTTCAACACTTATCCAATCTTATATACAGTGTTTTGAGCCCTACCACTTTGTCTGATCTACATTTTTTACAAGGAAAGAATATTTTTATGCTTAACTCAGAATCATAATGGATATTTCTACAGATATACTGAGCTTCAAATCGAGATGATTGCATTCTGGAGATATTTCAAGGTTCTTTGATGATGTCGGAACCACATAAACCAGAACTCAAAATGGTCTTCCGTGACTATTTGTATGTACTTCTCTGATGGATTCTTCAAATTCTCACTTTCATTTGCTCTCTTAATTTTTGCAATTGGGATTGATACCTTATAAGGCATTCTCATGGACTTTCCAGTTGAAGAGAGGATTTTGATTGATCTATCACTAAGGAAGGCAACTTTGTGAGTAGATACAAAGAGTAGGCCCGGGATTGGACCAGATGTTGTTGATAAATAACATTGAGATGCCTTCAACAGCTTTTCGTCATCGTCTCTAACAGTACCGAAATTCTTCTTGAACACCTTTTCGATGCCACCAGCTTGGAGAAGTTTTGCCCCAAGGATCAGCTTCCCCTTAACAGTGTCTGTTATCCTTGGCCTTAATCTCACAGCACCATTTCTTTTTTTTGGTGGTTTATTTAAAGTAGGAGACAGATTGCATTGGGTGGCTGCAGAATCAGGAAGTGCCCATTTTGTTGAGCTCTGATTCAATAAAACTGCCCAGTAGTTGATGGGAACCAGGTTTGATTTCATCTGGTTTTGCTTCATATCTAACTTTCTTTAGTTCTTTGTATATAGTGGCAAGATAACAAGAAATTATCTTTGCTAAAGCCTAAAGGGTGAGTAGAATGTGGAATGAACTGATTTCTGGTATACACCTGATTCTTCCATAAGTAATATGTATACATATATAGGTTAAGTTGGCAGTTGGTGGATCTTAAGTTTTAGTTGGATGAGTCAGATTTTGATCATCATGACCCAAAAAGTTACATTATATTATTTATAATTCCCTTTCAGAAATTAAAAAGGTTCCATGCAATGGTTGCTAATTTTTATATATAATTATTTTTGTAAAAGATAGTTATGAATAGGAAAATACGGAGTATATATTATATGTAGTCTCATGCTTTACTCCCAACTTTTTACTCCCACATTTAAAATTTTGATGGAGACACTCTTACAAGGGTCTACACGAAGAAAATATATAACCTATCAGCGCCCGCTGCTGGAAATTATGGAATTTAGGACTACCTGAAATTGATCTTAAATCAAGTTGAAAGTAAAAAGTAGTCGGAAATAACAACAAAGGTTTTTCTGGATACCAAAAGTAGTTGGAACAAGACTTTCGACTTAATTTAAGATCACTTTCAGGATGGTCGGAAATTTCATAATTTCCAGCAGTGGCCCGCCACATCAGGAAGCAAATTTGAAAGAATAAAATTTGAGAATACATGTAGTAGAACTACTGTGAATATTAGCATGGCAGTACTTAAATAGGGAGTTTTCTTTTCATTTCTTTTTATTATTATTGTTTTGAAGTCATATTGGCCCGTCTCAGAAAGTAGTTGGATTGTGTCTGGTCAGGCAGGAGGACGATCTGATGACTCATCTTTTGTCTGCAGATTGCATGCATGCATGTTAGTGTGTTACTGCAACGCAACTTTTTAGCTGTCTTAGTGGCTTTAATTTATTTCTGATCAAACTAACCCACTACTTTTGTGCTAATCTTTGGTTGGCAAGGAAAGCTTCCCACATGCTAGTCACAAGTTGCAATTTGCAAAGAACATCACGTACTTTTATCATCTTTGATGTGTAAAGGTACAAATTTTAGACCAGTCTTCCAAATGACATCAACCCTGTCTGAAAAAAGGCTTTGCCACCAGCCGGCTCAGTTGTTTTTGACATTGCATATATACCATCTCCTTCATCTCCAAATATATATTGAATTGATGAACTTCAGTTGCATGATCAAAGATTCCAGATGGTTAACTTAACCTTTTACCTTTTATGTATAGAAAGAAATCGACCAATCATTATACTATGGACCATGGTCCACTTTGTAAGGTGAACCCTATTGGGCGTCGGCCGGGTTGGCCGAGTTCAACCCCTGCTCGATTCGGGACGTGGCGCTGTGGCTTAGCATGGAGAGATGTGGTTAAATGGTTAATGTCCACCTACCTATCACCAATTGATTTTAAGTAGGATATGGCAACCAGGTACCATAGAATTCTGTGATTAAGCGTGCTTGACTTTCGGCAATCCCGATCCCGAGATGGGTGACCCACTGGAAAGTAAGGATAGTGCAGCGCTGAGGTTCAACAAACCCCGACATAAGATACATTTTTATTATCTTAAAGGCACATTTTTTACACTAAAGGTTCATTTTTTGAAAGTACATTATTTGATTTATTACCAAATAATGTACCTTCAGCACACAAATAATATACATTTAGAATATTAAAAATATACATCTATTCATGCTCCGTAATTAATCATTATCCTATGGTCCATAAATAAATATACTAAAGGTACATTATTTGAGTTTTTGATGTACATTGTTTTGTATACCTACTATCAAATATTGTACATTCAGTACATAAATAATTCACCTTTAGTAAATTAAAAATGTACATTTTTTCATGATCCACACAGAATTTGCCACACAATATAAGAACAACCTCATCAGTTGAGGTTTTTTCTACCAGTTTGTTGTGGGCCGCCCCAGCATCCATGATGAATGTCTTAAACTCATTCTTTTTCCAAACACATTTTAGTATTTTTTACTTGTTACTCATTGAGTCATTGTTTTATGGAGTCAATTTGGTTACTTATGAAATTATATTGCATTTGATGGTTTGAGACATAAGATGGACTATTTGACCAAGTCTTTGAAGTCGCCTTAGCATGAGAGCAAAATTGGATGATCAAAGTGATACTTTTTGGAGTTTTAGGCGCATTGGGATGGACCATGGCTTGACCCACGACCGAGGAGAGCACCGGAACAATCACTAAAGACATTGGAGGCCTCCCCTGCTAGCCACGGGCTCAGCCACATCTGGTAAGCATAGGTATAGGCATGCCCGTCCATGTATCCATGTGCACAATCCAATAGTTTTTTCTTTTTTTTTCTTTTCTTTTTATTTTTGCTGGGCACAAGTTCGACCTTACCCGTGCCCAACCTCTACAACATTAAAAAGACTTTTTGCTTTATTTTAAATGGAGAACTCTTTACACCAAAAACACAACTTTCATTTCCTTTTTATTCCCTAATTAGGTTTAGCTCTCTAGAATAGCTTAGGGTAGAATAGATTTTTTGTTCCTTTCCATTTCCAAGCTCAAAAACACTTTGCAGTCCTGGATTTCAAGGCTTCAATAGAAAAGTTTTCTTATTCATCTATTTCCTTTGTTTTTCATTTATGCTTTTAATTACTCTTTTAGTACTGTGTATCTATTGTTATATTATGAGTAGCTAAGTGTTTTAGGACTAGGATTTGGTTTGATTTCTTGCTATTGATGCCTATTTGAGTTGTATTGCATAAAAGAGATTATTTGGATGTTCTAGGGTTTGTTGTCTGAATTGGGTTTGTTTTGAAATTGCGTATAATTGTTAGATTCCAATTATATGCTTTTTTTTTGGAGTCTGTTTGTTGCTACGAGAGTAGAGTTTGTACACTAACCACATATTCACACACTTAGACACAATACGAGAGTATTTCGGGTGTTCAGGAGAATTTATGCCTTGTGTTCTTGTTTGGGCAACTTTGGGTTGGATTGCTATGAGAGTGGAGTTCAAGGTGAAGTTGCGAGTCCAAATAGCTACGAGAGTGATATTTGGACAATGATGTGTATCTCACTTACCATATGCCTTTATTTAATTCCCTAATTGTTAGTATAATATTTGGCATTTTAGCTTGAATCAACCAAATTCCAATCATTTGTTTTACTTGTCTTATTTTCTATTTGCTTAATCATATCAACCCAACCTATTAGCGATAATCCTAACTTCTAAAACGGTAGTTTTAACTTGTACTTAACTCCACTTTGCATCATCTCCCGTGGATCGGAACGATATCTTAACACTTTACAATAATTTGATACTTGATAGTTATGTAAAAACATCTTATCAAATTTGACGCCGTTGCCAGAATGGCTTGGTTATGAATGTTTTGTGGTAGTTGACATTGGTGAAAGACTATTCTAGGAGACTAGACCATTTTTTTTCTCTTTGTTTTTATTTTCCTTTTGTTACCATTTGCTCTAGTTCGCTTTGCTAACGGACATTCTTGAACTTATATGCACAGAAGATCCAAAGAAATTGGAAGCTTGCACCACTTAGAAATTGAAAGGGGTGTCAAGCAAAGGAGAAGGGAGCATCATGTCATTCTTCAACAACATAGAGTAGCTATGGAGAACACAAGCTATTTCGTACGTGTGTTATTAGGGTATGTGTTTTTGAACAATTGTCCTTTGGAAAGGACTTATTATGGTTTTTGCGTACGTACTGATCTTTAATAATTAAGTTTTTATTAGTTGCTTAAATGTTTTTATTTCATTTCGAGTTGTATAGTCGTTTGAAGTGTTTTTCCAAATGATAGCCAAAAGTGGAATTTGTTAGTATTTAGTCTTGTAAACCCCAACTTTGTAATTGATAAATTATTATGGCAAATAGATAGGTTAGGTCTAGTACTAGTTAGTGTGCTGATTGAAGAATAGACTTATCAGATCCTGCACTAGAGCCTTTGGAACTAGCTGTTGAGAACTACACCGCCTTAGAATATCCCTATCTCTCTTTAATACCTCAAGAGTAAGACAGTAATTGGTCCTACATATGATATCATGGATCACTTGTCTTACAAGATCAGAGTATTATATATACAAAGAGAGAGAAGCAGCATCAGCAACAAGAAGAGAATTAGAACGCATGAACTTCAAGATTTGAAACGCCCCCTCTAAGATTTACAGAAGAAATAATACCTGAGAAATTATCTTCTCAAGATATTGTTCATGATTTGAACTTTAAAAAAAAAACAAAAAAACTTGAGAAGAAACTCTACAAAGTCTTTATCTCTTGGATCGTAACCCATGAAATTGTGGTACAGTGGTGCGTGAGTCAGCGAGACAGACAAGAACAGTGTGTATCTCCAATAGCTTCATCAATTGACGACCTCGACAATCTTCTATAGCTTCATCAGATTGGGTTGTGTCATGTGGGGTATATCACACATTTGGTTGAAAAGGTGTTCTCTTACCATCTGTAAAATTTGCTATTGAGATAGTTGATTGGACTGACTAATGGTGGTCCCCAGACATAGATACGATTGTATCGAACTGGGTAAACAATATTCTAACTCATTTACTTTATGTTTGTTTAATTTTCCGCACAAGTCATATCAATATCTAATAAATCGATTAATCACACGAATTAAAGTTAGCGATGTTAAGACTTAGTCCAGGCTTGATATATTAATTTCATTATATTTGTTTTTATCTTGTGGCTTAGCTTTTATCTTGTGGTTTAGCTTTTACCTGCTTCCTGTTTCCTTGCTTTGTAAAGCTTATTTAAAGCTTGTGTTCATTTAATGCAATACCAGAGTTCTTCACTCTCACATGGTATCACAGCCATCTCTCTAGCGAGCTTTTTTTTTTTTTTTTTTTTTTTTTTTTTTTTGCTTCCTTTCTCTTATCTCATTCGCCATGGTTGATGCTACCTAACCCACTATCACTCACATTTCCGCCCCAACCCACTTCCCAATCAAACTCACTTCCACGAATTTTTTAATTTGGAAGAAACAAATAGAATCTACACTCATAGGT